ACTAGCTTCAGCAGCCGTCGGTTAAGAGTTTTTGAAGCCGGTACATCTACACATGTCCGCAGTGCACTACAGTTTCAGAAACATTCATTTTGCTTCAGCAGTGACCGGCTTCCTTTTATTATGCAGTGTTCGTATCTCTTTACAAATCTACTAGGACAACATATTTGCACTAACCTATTTTAGATGCATCCTAATTTGTTGTCTAAGAAGTCATCAGTACAGATTGTCCCTGTTCCATTCATGGGTCATTTGACTAAGCCGATTCTGTATTGGATTGATGCAGTTGCGTCTAATATTACGGATTTAAACACCAAAGTTGTATTTTATTTACCATCATACACTTCATGTTAGTCAGACCGCTTGTGGTGCATTTCGGATTTTTGTGCGTTTTCTAATAATAATCAGCTGTGAGAGACTTCATGTTCAGCCATTGCGTACGACGTCATATTTGAAGGTTTGTGTCATGTTCATATGGTGCATCTGGTTTAGCAGGACTACAGTCTTGCAGCTTATCAGTGGTCTGTTACCAGCGTAATTCTGTTAGGAGCCGTTCGGCTTTGTTTGGATTCAGTCATATCTCTTTGGAACGATTTGGGTTTTTTTGGACTCTGATTGAATACTGCGAGTCTGTCCCTTCTAAGGTTATTTCAGCAGTGTGTTTAAGAGGTACGAGACTGGGGAAATGTGTATATTGTCAGACAGATGTACTTTCCAGTTAAATATTTCTCCTGTGTATTACTTTCTCTTCCGCTAGACATCAGGGGACTGTGATCTACTGTCAATGTAGTTGAAGATTGAACGATCAGTTCATGGTTGTTTGCTCAAACCCGACTTCCCCATATTTTTCGCGGAGTCATCAATTCATCAGTCATCGTCTCATTGGTAGCTGTTCAGAAGGAAGGTAAAAACTATCAGAAACCTTCCTCTGTAATAACAGTATTGTTGGTTATATGTTGGCGTTAGAATAAAGGATTCTTGAGTCGCCAAACAGTGTTTTGGTTCTCGCGTCAGTTGATGGTAAGCGTTTCTGAAAATCTTCGAGGGATAGCATGAGGCCCAGCGTAGCAAGAGCTGGACATTGACGGTTTATGTGACTTGACTGACATCTATTATAATCTTCTTCAGGAGTGAAGGGGAGTGATGGATGTGCATCAATTAATTTTACTAACATTTTGCTCTTATCTTTCTCATTATGAACATAAGAGTGTATAACCAACACCACGAAAATAAGAATTCATTTCACTCATTAATTGCTCCAGTGGACCATTTTCAATTTTGGGACAATAGAAATCTCCCAACATTAGACTCAGTAAAGAACCCTTGGTGATCCCCCCGGTTTGTCCGTAATGAGGGCTGTTGAATGTGTTGTGTATATTCACAGCGCATTTTAGAAGTATCCCTTTCAGACTGATAGTTAGAACTCTGAAGTATAGCTAATTTTCAACTAATCTTGACATAAAAATTTCACAGTGTCCATGAATGGTACGATAAAGGGATTTGTCGTGTAATCTCTGGAGGCAGAATTGGTGAACTGTGATGCTACTTCTGACGATAGCATTCGCTCCCCATACACACCCATATCATGTAGGTTGGAAATGAATTTGAAAACGCCACTACCACTATGATTTACAACTTTCCTGTGTATTGGCCAGCGTAGTCCAACTAGCCATTTTGTTACTCCATGGTGTATGAATTAGGTATGCCAGTGAGTGGGCGAAGAGGAAGTCCTGGTTAAAATACTTTTAACAAAGCACACAGTAGTGAAGTCTAAAATCCAGTAGGCTTAAGACGGTCGTTGACTGCCACTGAAAGTGTTGCACTTTTCCTCAGCTCCTTGAGAGTGTTTTTAGCTGATTTCAGCCTTTCCGTTTGGATCTGTTGAGTTGTTAAGCTTTCGGAATCTCGTTTCATCGGTTAGAAGAGAATCCATTTTGTCACTGTACCCACATTTATTCGTCACCGCTACCCGACCCCCTGTATCACGTTGCGTGATTTCTTCTAACGCATTTGCTCTATAATGTAAAATGCGTGCGTGTTTGCCTATACGCTTAGGCTTGCAAAGTCCTATGGAGTTACATATAAAAAGACTCCAGAAGAGGTAGCCTCCTTGTGACATATGTTAGGTCAAGATTGGACCACCGCATATTATATTGGAAGCAAAACTGCAGTCCCTGTGATATTCCTTGATTTTAAGAAAGCATCAATTGCTGTTTACCACAGTAACACGTTTTCGAAAAACAGACATGACTAGCACTACTGACCAGCCCATCTTTTGGAACATAAATCACCTCGGTGAACAGAATCAACGACGGACTCAACGGTATCTACCCATATTCGTTGGCTTGATTGTTAAAAGGTCAAGGAAGTCCATGATATAACCATTTCTGATTTATTAATCATCAATAAAGTATCCCGCTCTATACATAAGAGGCACAAAACTACAGTAAATGTTAACTAATCATGTAGGCGAGAAGTAGGCCCGAGAATCATTAGGCGACAAAGGGCGGTCAAAGGAATGTTACACAAACTCTAAAGGTTATAGGTGGTCAGGATTTATTACAAATACAATGACGGGCAGATTTGCCTTTCAGTGACTGCAACTGATACAATGAAGAATCACGCATCCATTTTAACCAAAAACCTAGACAAAAGCCAGAACTCATTGGGCGACATGTTTGATCTATATGCTACATTGTATCTCATGGACAAAGAGCTAAATGCTCTTGCGGCGTGAGATGCCAAAAAGGTTTATATGCAGTTTAGAGATGCGGATATAAATATTTATATCTGCGACAACAATGTTGAATGGCGGAGAGGTGAACCTAGGAAAATTTGCTTGAGAAACAACATTGCAAACCAGACAGGTAGACAAAGAAGAATAATACGGAGGAAAAAGTTGCACAGTACGGAAGATATATGCATATCGGGATGCTACTACATGACAGACGCATTCCACATATACCTGTGTGTCGAGCTGCGAATAAGTGATTCCATTGCCGATCATCTTCTGTCGATGTAGTGTCACATATGGATCTATTAAACCTTATTTTGCCTCTAACTGAACAATCATATAACCATCGCTGTAGTCTCCCTAAGGAGAGACTTCAACTGTAGGGAAAAGAATAAGCAAAGAGCACTGAGAGGACAATATTATAATCGAATAAACCGTACAGTGGCACACTGTTTGGAGTCGGTCTATTAACACCTATATACTGCTCACTGCAAGTTTGCAAACATCTAAGGGCACTGAAAAGTGTGATACTGTCTTCAGGTTGGTGGTATGCAGCTTGTGACAATGCACTTGGCGGTGGTCATCAGACACATTGTTGGAAATCGTGGATCTTGTAGTATGGGTGGCAGTGGCTTGATGATCCTGTAGTAGCACACGGGATGTGTCGAACTCTCTGTTACAACAACGAAACCAAGTGTAATCACCACACCTTGCATTGGAACTATGGACTTCGAAGAAATTAGACCCAAGACCAAAGAACCTTATCAATTACCAGGCTACTACCATCTACTCAGCTGACAGTAGCTGAAACAAGTCTTCGGTTTGTTTGAATATTAAATTATTCGAATGTTCCAGTTCCTTTATTGGGATACACAGTGAATGCGTATTTGTTTGGGACAAATCATAATTGCTTAACAAAGCACACCAACATTGCTGGGGATGAAGGCAAGTCTCCCACAATGCTTGAATGATTTACAGCTTGTTTGCCTGTTGGCACCAGTGAAGAGTGACTTTCATGGTTATTATATACCAACCTGTCTTTATAGCCATACGTTTCGTTACATAACCACATGGCTACTTAGTCTAGGTTGCACTGAATTGTACTTATTTGTGGAAGATGAATGCCGAGGAAATTCTTCGCCTCAGCAATCAGATTTTACTAGCATGAACATTACTTGACTGAAGCAACTTCCTCTGACCTCTGGTGTTTGATGTGAATACATTGGGTATTATGCCAGGTTTCATTGGTTTGACAGGAACCTTGGTGTTTTATGATAACACTGAGCAGTTGCCGAGAACTTTAATAGGATGGTTAGTTTCTGAGTTATTGGTATCAGAAAAGTCTCTCATTCTATCCGGCAGTAAAAGCTTTACATTTAACTGCATGGAAATGCAAGTAATTGCAGAGTAACACATATGTAAAGCCATATGCCCGTGTACAAACAAGAAATTAAAGTTTCCGACAAAGGAAAATATGCTTGTGAACGAAGAAGAAAGATTTCAAAATGTTGGGTGTTATTTGTGTTTGTCTGTGCTACCAGATGAAACTGGTGTAGGTGAAATGGGATGGACCAATAGGATATCGGGACGTGTGGCGCGGCGGTTTGTGTTCGTGATGTTATCTGTGTTAGCATTCCTCATTTGTCATATCAGTTTTCCCCCAGTTGCTGCTTATTCAAGGGACGACTGTGATAGCTGTAGACGTGCAGCAAAAAGTTTCGTCTCAGGCATATACAAATCAGAAGGTAAAAATTTTGGAGGCGGAAATTCGTTATGGGAAGAAGAACACTTAGGCAGATATTCCGTGAGTGAAGCGCGTTACCATGATATCCTAGAAGTTATGTGTGGTGCTAAGCAAAATATAGAGTGTCATAAGTTTTTGGAGAACATAGAACCTCATTTGGAGGAGTGGTGGCTCAAGGATTTTAGAAGTAATACGAACAATCCGGAAAGACTCGAAGAAGAACTGTGTGTTATTCAAACAAAGTATTGTTGTCCTTTTGGGTCCTTTGGACCTTCTTGTCTTCCTTGTACCACATGCCATGGACATGGCACATGTGACGGTAATGGCACAAGATATGGTTCTGGTAAATGCCTCTGCGAACCCGGTTACTCTGGAGATTCTTGTGATCGATGCAACTTGGAAACCCACTTCCAGCTTCATGATGATGGTCCTTCTGTATCATGCTTACCTTGTCATTCGTCATGTTCTGGAGGTTGTTCTGGTCCGTTTTCTCAAAATTGTTCATCTTGTGCGTCGGGGTGGTCTATGCACGAATCTAATGATCAACGGGACTGTGTGGATGTTAATGAATGTCTCAGTAATCCCTGCAACAATGTCACACACTTTTGCGTAAACAGGCCTGGCTCGTACGAATGTATTGCTTGCAATTCCGCCTGTCGCGGGTGTACTGGTGCAACTGCAAATGACTGTGTATCCTGTGCAAATGGTTACCAGAGAGGGAATAGTGAAGCATGTGAAGATATCAACGAATGCAATGCCGATAGTAACATTTGTAATAAAGAGGGGGAAGTCTGCAAGAACTTGATTGGTGGTTATAAATGTGACTGCAGAAACGGATACCAACGAATTAATAATGATTGTGTACTGATTACAAAGCAGGAAACAACTTCGGAAACTCTGGGTAAGTCTGGGAAACAATCCAAAACAGATAGACATAAATTACGGAATCAGAATTTCCCGAAGATAATATGGACCCTTTCATACGCCAAAGAATTTCTCAAGTACTGCGCTTCTCTCCTTGCATTTAGCATATTTTGTTGGCTTGCTAGAGGCAATCTTTTTGTAATTGCATTAGCATCATTACTAATGAGTTCCTATGTATATTACCAAAGCCTTAAGTTCGACTCTGTGTACGCTCGTCAGGAATAGACTGAATTTCTTGTATTTTGTAATTTTTTCTCTAGAAAATATGCAAGATGTACAAATTAATGATGGTTACGACACTTTGAAAGAGGAGCCGAATCCTAGTCATATTCTGGGAGAATTGTGAATTTGAATTGCTGTTGTTCCCAGTGTATATAAGTGACTGACGATTATGCTACTTTCGGAGGCTGGATAAGTTTTGTGCCTCGTAATTATCCTGTCTCATTGACAATTTATCATGGTTCCAGATATATCATGTTTCATAGTTTGATTTTACTTATCTGTGAGTTGTTTACCAATGTGACATTTTCTTCCATGAAGTTTTGTAACTTTTTGTGTTTATACAATAATGTAAATTAGGACTTCCTTTTTCTTCTAATGGAAACATTTTCGAAATAGCTAAATGTTGTGGGATTTTCACGCGATCTGTTAGATAATGTAGGAATTCCCCTCGAGCGATGGCCTGCGTTGCGAGCAATGTCATTTGACAGTCTTCTGAATATATGCCCGATCCATCTCCATTTTCTCCTCCACATTTGTTGGGATTTAGAGGCTGACGGTATTGACGTTCGCGAATTGTACGGAGTATACTAACGCAAGATCTTATGCCAACAACTATAGTATTTGTTTCTCGTGGACCAAACGCAAAACAAGGGACAGTATTTGATCATCCAAACTACGGGATATATCTCGGGACCAAATCGTGGACTGAGGTGGAAGCTAAGCTGGCTAGTGATCGTGCCCGAACGTGACACGATGGAGTACCAAATGGCGAGGATGCTTGACTGGAGGCCTTCAGCTAAACAAGTCGACTTAGACAGTGAGGGTCAGCATCCAATGTTCAGTGATGATGGTGAATTATTTACCTCTACAGGGACATCAGCTCTTGGTTGCTTCGTTGACAAAGTTTCCTGGTACTTATTCTTTCTGACCGGCCATTTGAACTTCAGTATGGAGCCGTAGAATGCAGCTGTTGGTGAAAGTCTGCAATATTTTGGAAGTCATTTTGTGACACTCAGTGCAACTTTCTGACCCGTATGGAAGCACTGACTGACTTCACATTTGTGTTGTAAATCAGAATCATGTCCTTTATGTTGAGTCAGCCCAGAAGATTTCCAAACTGGTTCCAGATTGATTAAGGTGTATCCTACCTTTCTAATTTTGGCTGGTTTTGACATCTTCATCCGTTCCACTTGTAACACCAGTCAAATGTAGCGTTTTGAAGGCGATTGATGCTGTTTGTTGTTGTTGATGTTGGCTGGTTATCTTCATCACTTTCGTCTTCTCTGTGTCCACTTGGAGTCCCGTCTTCGCTACTTTTTTTTGACAATTTGTTGGTCTTCACCTGCAAGTCTCTGAGTTTATGTTACATCAAACATATATCATTTGTGAAATCCAAAATATACGGGCGTGATTTCATGATAATTCGATAATATGCATTGAAATTTTGAACTTCCTGCTTCCTATAATACATTACGTAATGAAGATATGATCCTCAAGCCAGAATTTCTGATAAAAGTGCAGTTGGTGCAGCTCACTGCAAGAGCACAATGCCAACGATAATATGCATGTGGAAAAAATCTTAATTACATTTAGGGAACATAAAAAATACAGGTTGTCATTAAACTAATATAGAAGTTAACCGCAAGACTTCGGGCAACAGGGATGTGCAATAAAGCCACTCGAAAAGTACTGTGTGCCACTGCTGTGGCCAGGCTGGTTAATGCAAGAATCGCTACGCCAGTTCGTATCCATGTTGCAAGGATTCAAGAAGAAGCTACAGCTGAAAGTCAACTTGGTGTGAGCTGTAACGTCTTCGACTGAGTTGTGCACGTTATTGATGATGAGTAACAGTTGGCATATGTGTGATGTGTGTGTTCCTGTTATGTGCTGTAGTTTTCCTTCGCCCTCCATTTCAGCTTTGACCTTGATGACTGAAGTCTTCCAACTGACAGTCATTTCGAACTATAGTGGTCGTAATGGAAAAAGGATATGGATTCTTTTTACCGCGGAGTGTTAGTGTTGCTAATATTGACTGAATATACAGTTCCGGAGAGTTCTAGTGAAAAGATTTATCAGTAGTATATAAAGAGAGGTTCATTATCATAAAATCATCAAATATCAAGGAAGTACATTTGAGTTCAGAGAAGTCAAGTGGTGCAGAGTTGGGGAGGTACATGGGAGACGTGAAAGGAACACAAAGAAACACAATATGAAGGCCAGAATTACCACAACACGAAGGTCTGTGCAAATTGCGCGTTGAGGATAAGGTGCACATAATTTGGTCATATATAAATACCAATTTCGAAATAAACATTTCTTTACGGAGTCTTCGTCTTCTGAAGTTGCAATCATTGTCGCTGCCTCCAGACAATGAAGTTTTCATGGCCGGCTGCTTTCGAGGAGGGAGACATACTGCAATCGTCCTGCGGACGCTTCTGAGAGATTGAGCGAAGAGGGCGTACGAAATTGTGGAGCGGTCAGGTGGGGCGGAGACCTGGAAGCTGTCGGTTGGACGATATGCGTCAGAGTTCGGCAGTCCCGTGCCGTGAAGGTGGGAGGGTGGTGACTGCTATTCAGCGGATATGATGGTGGGGACCTAAGAGAACCACCCTTATCTGTGGGAATGCACTATACTGCTAAGGCTCCTGAGGACGAATTACTTCAAAAAAAATATTAATAAATAAAATAAAAAAATAAATGCTGCCTGTATGTCACAGCTTGCGTACAAACTCTTTGAAAAAATGGCTCATGGTACGATTTCTCTACTTCAGGAGGACATCTAACTGTATAAATCAGAACAACAGCATAAATCAGTATTAATATACTTCCTCTTTTCTTTTAAATAACTTATGTACTTTGGCATTTGGATTTCACTTCTTCAGTTACTATTCCCAACATTACCCTATATAAGAGTGAAAACCATAATTCGTTTCGCCCTAATTTTTACTTTTTTTTATTGTTATTCTATACTTCAGTTGTTGTTTACTACTATAAACTTAAACTAACCGTTGGTATGTAACACTATAAAACTCAATGACTAGAAATTCCTAGTAATAAAAAAGGAGAATAAACACTGCGGTTATCGCATATTGTTTACTTAAATTATCATTATCTGCTGGCTGCTTCTGTTTTCTTCACTTCTCGAAGGTATTGCACTGAAGCACTGCTAATGAACAGTAATCCTGCTTTCTACATTTGTATTACTTGAGCGGTATCCAGAATATTGTTAGCAATTACGATGAACAACGGAACAAATTCCATTTTGAATTCTGTTCAACATCGCAAAGTTAACTTTGCGACCAATTTGTCCCTTCTATCTGCTAATACCAATATAATGCTGTACTTACCATATAATGTGGATTTTTATAAACTTTCGAACTCTTATTGATTGATAAAATGATAATAATAACGGTCTGGATCCAGTGTGGCTTACTCCAGCACATGTATATCATCTCTCTTCTTACATTCCATTAACGCAAAATTTCATAATTCCCGCATGAATCTGACTCACTATGAGTGTATTAAATATTATAATTTAGACTTAAACCAAAACCTTATATTCTATTCTTGTAAAGTTTTCTATTCATTTTCCAATTTTTATTTCATAAAACAGTGTTCAATTTCAGACTGCACTTGTCTAATATGATCATGCCTGTACAAACGGTATGTGAATCATGTAAATGCTTAATTTATGTGAAATATATATTATTATTATTAAGATTGGACTAAACGCAGACCAGCTGGTTTTGGCGGTGAAGCCGACGAATCTACCACGTTGTACACACCCCACATAGAATGAAGAGTCGGAGTCTCAGTTATTGGCGTCGCAGTTCATCGAGAGTGTCCTAGACCACATTTCTCAGCAAATTCAACCGGTTAACGCCGCATGACCCACAAACATCGGTTAGCTAGTGAAGGTGACCGGGAAGCTGCTGATCACAACGGCAGCAGCAATAGAGCCACCAAAATTGAATGAGTAGGAGCAGAAAGTGGAAGATATGCAGCGTAAAGTGGCGGCGCTACGGATGTGTCTCAGGAAAGACCGATGTTTTGAATGTGGACACTGGAGGAGACACTGCACAGAAAGAAGGAGAAGAAAAAGTTTTCGACAATATGTCTGTTCTCTCTTTTTCCAGACTAGAAGTAGTAGGGGTATTGGGAGGGCGTCGATGTATTGAAAGTCGCAAGTGAATGGCCGAGAATTAGCATATTTGACAAATACAGGGGCGGCCGTCTCACTAGTGAGATAGGAAGCTGTGTCAGCGCATCAGATCGTGTTCATTGACAGTTCAGACGGTAAATGGACACGTGTTAAACATAACCGGTACGTCATCTGTAGTGCTTTTATTGGCGATTGCGAGATGACGTTTCCATGCATTGTTGTGCACGAGTTACGGCGAACAGAACTTGGGGCTGATTCTCTGCGTGAGGTTGGTGTGGAAATTAACATGAAGGAGATTGAAGTGAGTACGAAGTGTGGACTTATTAGCATGTGTGAGATAAGCGAAGTAGCCGGCGTTACGACATCAAGGGCAGAGAATATGATTGTGTTAATTAAAGAATGCGATCATCTGTTCACTGAAGATGGGGACTCCTACGATGATTATGATAAGGTGAGAAATGAAATTCCACTGAGCGGTCGCTAGATGGCACCATTTACAACACGAAGAGTCCCGTGTCGTCTAGCAGGTAAAGTCGAGCGACGAGTGAAGGGGATGGTACAGGATGATATTATTGAAGAAGCTGACAGTCCGTATAACTTGCCAGTTGCTCTAGTGAAGAAAGTTTATGGCAAATACAGATTCTGCATCGGTTTCCGACAGCCAAACAACATGACAGAGCTGAGATCGTGTGCCATGCCAACCGTAGTGAAAACCTTGGATTGTTTGTAAGACGCGGAGATGTTAACAATGATTGACCTCCGGTCAGGATTTTGGCAGATACCAATAAAACAGAGTGACAGAGATAAGACGGCATTCATTGTGGCACAGAAGCAGCATCGGTTTAAAACGCATGCCAATTGAATAGCAGGTGCACCATTTACCTTGAAACGACTGATGACGCGGTTACTTAGAAACTTGAAGAATGCAGAGGTGCACAGAGATACACAATAGTTTCTCCTTC